ATGTTGTCTTTGTATCAATGGAGACTCAAATGCCTCTTATGACGTCACTGATTATTCTAAAGAATAATACAAATTACATCTTTATAGGATTAATAAGCAAATACAAATAATATTCAATTCTAAAATGTATTTATAAGTAAAAATCTTTTCTAAATGTTTGATTGTTCCAGCAAATAAAATCTTTATTTGTGTTATTTTCGTATTTGTTTCCAGTAATCTTTCTAGTGTGAAAATAAATTATTTTGATATTTGGAGAGGCAAGATTTATCTATCCATCATTGAAAATACCATATTTATTTTTGATCTATTTCTAATCTTTGAATACAACAATTTTTTTGACTTTGAAGAAGATATATTTATTTTGATCTCTGAAGAAATCATTTTAGTTTTTGATCTTTGAATAAACCAGATATATTTCGATCTGTTAAAGGGACTGTGAAGGAAAAATGAAAGGGGGTATAGGATGAAACCTGAGAATCTCAGGCATTGAACGATACATATAAGATATCTATCTGATGTTTCTGCCTTCAGAAATTTATATAAAACTGTGTCAAAATTATACGAAAATTCATATGTTTACAATTTTGTATAAAAGTAGTAGGTTTAAACTGATCATTTTCAGCAAATACGTAACTAATCTGAAAACGAGTTTATCCCACAGGAACCTGAGAATCTCAGGTTTGCTCCTATTATAATTTAATTTTTTCATTTTTCATTTTTAATAGATATAATTGATAATATTATTACATATAGTCTGTATAGTTTGTATTACGTCACCAGAACTTCAGCAAATGGCAGAGCAGTATACTGGTCACATGATCAGTATCATATTGGTTAAGTATTTGTTAAATATGATCTGTTTAATACTACAACTTTTATAAAAATTGCAATTATATGAATTTTCGTATAAATTTGACACAGTTTTATATTTATTTCTCAAGAAAAGAACATCAGATAGGTGTATAGGTATCGTTCAGGTTTCAGCCTATACCCCCTTTCATTTTTCCTTTACAGTCCCTTTCAGAAACGATATTCTTTTTGATTTAGTAGAAGCCATATTAATTTGATCATCGAAAAAGCGTTATTTATTTGTGACGTTTGAAGAAACGTAAGAAATCATATCGGCTTTCTTTCTTTATATGAACCATACTAATTTGTGACCATGTACATTTTCGATCCTTAAATAAACCCTACTTATTTATGATCTTTGATCAAAATATATTTTTTGTTTTATCTTTCAAGAGAACATGTTAGTTTTATTATTTTTAGGTAGATGAACCCTAATTAATTATGACCTTTAGATAAACTATACTTATTTTTGATCTTTGAACAAACCATGTTTATTTTTATTTGATTATTTAATCAAATAATGTTTAAGACAATTTCTCACGACTCTCTAAAAAATTAAATAATCTTTCAAAGTGTCTTAATCTCACTTTGTGACTTTTTAAGGGATTTTAAAAAATTGTTTCAAGTATTGGTACTAACTCGTCTATAAACTGAAAACAAACTCCAATCAGTTAATCAAATATCTGTGACGTCATGATAGGTATTTGTGTGTCTGTTGTTAGAAAGACTACATTTTCTGTCCATCGGAGCGCATCCAGAGTATTTACCTTTAAACTCTTATAACCTTGCATTATTACGTCTGTGGAGTGTGGAGATGGACACTTTATATCATCTATTTTACCCGTGTCTATGGAGAGCTGAGACAGACACTTTATATAATTTATTTTACCCGTGTCTGTGGTATGCGGAGACAGACACTTTATATAATCTATTATACCCATGTCAATCGAGAGCTGAGACGGACACTCTATATAATCTATTTTACCCGTGTCTGTGGTATGCGGAGACAGACACTTTATATAATCTATTATACCCGTGTCAATGGAGAGCTGAGACGGACACTCTATATAATCTATTTTACCCGTGCCAATGGAGAGCTGAGACGGACACTCTATATAATCTATTTTACCCGTGTCTATGGAGAGCTGAGACAGACACTTTATATAATCTATTTTACCCGTGTCTGTGGAGTGCGGAGACAGACACTTTATATAATCTTTTATACCCGTGTCAATGGAGAGCTGAGACAGACACTCTATATAATCTATTTTACCCGTGTCAATGGAGAGCTGAGACGGACACTCTATATAATCTATTTTACCCGTGTCTATGGAGAGCTGAGACGGACACTTTATATCATCTATTTTACCTATGTCTTTGGAGTGCGGAAACAACCACTTTATAGCATCTATTTTACTTGTGTCTGTGGAGTGCGGAGACAGACACTCTATATAATCTATTTTACCCGTGTCTATGGAGAGCTGAGACGGACACTTTATAGCATCTATTTTACCAGTGTCTTTGGAGTGCGGAAACAACCACTTTATAGCATCTATTTTACTTGTGTCTGTGGAGTGCGGAGACAGACACTCTATATAATCTATTTTACCCGTGTCTATGGAGAGCTGAGATGGACACTTTATAGCATCTATTTTACCCGTGTCTTTGGAGTGCGGAAACAAACACTTTATAGAATCTATTTTACCCGTGTCTGTGGAGTGCAGAGACAGACACTTTATATAATCTATTTTACCAAAGATTTGTGAAAAATTATTATAAACTTCAAATGAAAGAAGTAAAAATACTTTTTAAGTACTTAAGTCTTAAGTACTGTAAAGAAGATTCAATATGGCCATTTAGACTTAATCCTCTAATTCTAGAAATCTTTCAAAGAACCTAGTATACTGCATGCAGGATGTACTTTCTGTTGAACTCTTTTAACCTTAAAAGGACTGTAAGCGTGATTTCAAGCTCCTCCATGCAAAGATGGCAATGCAAGATTCACAACGGTACCCTCAAACTAGACTGACCAATGTTGTCAGATTCTCACTAATTTCGTTGGATACTCTAATATTTAAACAAAGAGCTTTCTTTGCTCGATGAACAGTCAAAGGTTCAAAGGTAGGGTTTCCATTTGCAATTGTGGAAAGATCGCGCAAAACTGTAGCTGGCTAACTTGTTTGAACAAACTGTTGTAATAGATTCAAAAGATATTTGCATAGAGGGTCACGAAGAAATGACGCTTACAGTCCCCTTTAATTAAGTTGGTTTTAGTAAATCTTGGTTTCATTGGGGGATAGTTCAACTACAAACTTAAAAAGTAAAAAAAAAGTTTTGATTTTTATTGAACGAAAATTTTACGAAAATGGACGAAATTTGTGATTTTTAAAATTAACTGCATCTAAAAAGTGCATTCTGGTGCAGCTGAGTTAATTTTGCTTTCTAGATTTGTTTTAAAATCTTTCTAATTTATGGAATTTATAATTTGATTGGTTTTTCATGTTTTTTCATTTTTATTCTGAATTCAAAATATATTCATCTGTATATTCTCACAGGGAATGGGGGAGCGACGTTATTTAATAAATCTACTACCAGAGAGTATAATGAAATTTGCAACACTATACAAAGTCACCAATGCCGAACTACTAAGTGCTTTTTATATTTTATTTATATTTATATTATAAGTCCCTCCCTTCCCCCGGGAATATATGAAAAAAAATATCTTTTGTCCTTATTTGGGATAAAAATGAAGAAAGATAAATTAAGGGAAAATTATTTCCATTAACCTTCGTGGGTAATTGAATAATAGAAAAGTTAATAAAGATATTTGATCTTTACAAAGTTAAAGAAAGTTAAATGGAGTGTTCGTGAAAACTAAATTCAATATCGATCTATATCGCTACTAATTTTATTCTTATCTGTTCTGTATATAAGGAGAAAATGAATAAAAACGTCTTATACCTATATCGTAAACCTATGAGCGTATCGTTCACTCAAATTTACAAAGTTGCATTATTCCATTCAGATCATAAAAAATTCAATTAAATTTAAAATCAACCATTTAGATATTACAAACTATAACGACGATTTTTTGTCCGCAAGGTGTATCTCTCAAGTAAAATCCCTAAAAAACGTTCCCTTTAAGGATTAATCTTTCTCCAAAAAGCACTACAATACTATACAATACTATACAATACTATACAATACTATACAATACTGTACAATACTATACAATACTATACAATACTATACAATACTATACAATATTATACAATACTATACAACAATACTATACAATATTATACAATACTATACAACAATACTATACAATATTATACAATACTATACAATACTATACAATACTATACAATACTATACAATACTATACAATACTATACAATACTAAACAATACTATACAATACTATACAATATTATACAATACTATACAATACTATACAATACTATACCATACTATACAATACTACACCATATTATGCAATACTTTACAATATTATACATTACTATACAATACTATACAATACTATTCAATACTATACAATTCAATTGCACATTTTACTTCTAAACCAAAAAGAGCCTGAGTTGAACGATGTTTCTTCATTAAAATGTTTCAAATATCATACAAGGACGCTATGTTGAAAACGCACTACGTATATTAAGGACGTCATCCATATGTACACCTCAGGTCATACATACAAGGACGCTATGTTAAAAACGCACTACGCATATCAAGGACGTCATCCATACGTACACTTCAGGACATACATACAATGACGCTATGTTAAAAACGCACTACGTATATTAAGTATGACATACATACATACACTACAGGTTTATATTACAGAACTAGCTTGAGAACCCAGCGTTGCCCGAGGTACTTATAGCTACTCCCGCCTTTTACCCACACAATTTTTCCCTATACAAGTAGACCTACTTCATTTAGAATCTCAGAACCAAGCTAAGAACATTCCCGTGGTTCTCCAGAGTTTCCCAATGAAAATTTGAGACAAGTCGGCCAACGGGTTCAGAGGCGCAACTAGGGGGGGGGCGGCCGGGCGACTGAGTTATGATCGGACACACAATCAAACAAACTGACAAACAGAGATTACATCTAATTACATATATAATATACCTCCGAACCCCCAGGCTACAAGACTGTAGATTGAAAACTTGAGATTTGGAGATCCTTTTCGTGGAACCTGGATAAATAATAAAATATAAAAAGTGTAAAAAAAAATTAGAATCATAATTTCTTTTTTATTTGAAGAGTACACAAGTACCAAAATATATAACTTAAAGGATACCATGGTGAATCGGACATGACACTCTACTAATGGAGGGTCGCTTTAATTTACACTTGTAGAGCTGGGCATCTTTTTTGTCAAGAAACAAACATTTTGAGAACGAACGAAATTGTTTGTTAAAAAGGCGTTATTCAGAAAAAAACGAACGATAGACTTGGATCGTTCAGAAAAAAAAGAATAAATCATTGTTTTTTTTTGACACGAACGAAAAAACGAGAAATTCAAAATATTTTGAAAAACCTTGGCGGTTTTTCTGAACGAACGATTTTTTCGAAAAACATTTTTTTTTAAGATAGGGATATCTTGTGTTAACGATTTTTAAACAAAATTTTTAAAACGATCAAACCGAACAAACTATTTTATTGAACAAACGATTTTACCGAACAATAGTTTAGTGAGAAGACGATCGAAAAATGTGGAAAATGAACGACAATTGTGAGATCAAACGAAATCAATATTTTTTTGAACGTTTGAAAAAATAACATACGCAATGGGTCGTTCACGAACGGTGAACGATCGAAATGAGAAAAAAACCAAACTTGCCCATCTCTAGTAACCATGGTTTACCCAGACAGATATTATCATCCCATATAAAACTTTCAAATTTAATTGAGAGAAAAAATTTTTAAATTTTATTTGGATAAATATTGAAATCTTACATATGGTAGTACATAAAAAAATTGGACTAAATTTCGTTTAGAATCTATTTTCATTAATCTTTTTTCATTATAGTAATGATGTCAAAAATTAAAACGAAAATGTTGACAATTGTTGAGAATGGGGGGNGGAAGCTAACATTTTCTATATTTGAGCTAGGAAGCTAACATTTTCTATATTTGAGCTAGGAAGCTAACATTTTCTATATTTGAGCTAGGAAGCTAACATTTTCTATATTTGAGCTAGGAAGCTAACATTTTCTCACTTTTCTAACTAACACAGGCCAGAACATGCCAGAACATGCCAGAACAGGCCAGAACATGCCAGAACAGGCCAGAACAGGCCAGAACAGGCCAGAACAGGCCAGAACATGCCAGAACATGCCAGAACAGGCCAGAACATGCCAGAACATGCCAGAACATGCCAGAACATGCCAGAACATGCCAGAACATGCCAGAACATGCCAGAACGAATCTATATATAGACCTACTTCCAGTCATTGGATTTAAACATTTTATAGCTATTTGGAAACCTATAACAAAAGCAATCAGATTGCACAATTTTTGCAATGAAATTTTGCACAGATGCCTTTAATTGGAATTTGCACATTTTCAGTTTTTCTTGAAAACGCATTAAGGTTTTAAAAATTTTTTAAATGTTTTTGCATATTTAAATTTGCTGGGTCAAGAGCTTTTCAAAAATGTTTAATTTGTTGCAAATTGCGCAATTTTTTTTTGCACAATTTTTGCTTAATGACTACATTTCGCAAAAAAATATTTGGAATTTTTTCTCCAGATTATTGAAATTGAGCCCAAGGGACTTCCAAAAATGTGTCAAATGTTATAGATTTGTATAACAATAAGAAAGTAAAGGGGAGGGGGCAATTTGACCCCCTCCCCCGGGAACCAGGCATGAAACCAGACGTCAGGATAAGTAGGGTTAGATTATGCATTTAGTTCCTAATATAAAAGGAATTGACTTTTTGCCACACACACCAATTTTCTCATTTCTCTATCTTTGAAACCTAATTGTGAAAACCTTTGATATTTTAAACTTAGATACTTCATCTAACAAAATTCATAGTTTGGAATATCAAAGGTACACAACAATGCGTTGCAAAGATAAAGAAACTAACAAGTTAGAGTTTGTAGCAAAAGGTCATTTCCTTTATCCCTGATTTTGTAAAATAAACTGAGTTCTCCGTGAGTAAGAAGTATCCTGTGTTGCCACTTAGCATAATACGAGGTTAGGTGACATTCGAGATTTTTCTTTTTTTCCTTTTGTTTTGCTTCAAACAAAATATTTACGTTACTCAACAATTTTTTTTATAAAATTTGACTACTTTTTCTTGATGAATGCAATCTTTGAGTTTTGAGTTTTTCAGATTTCTGAAAAAGACGTTTAATTTAAAATCATGATTTTTAAAATTAATAAACTTAATCCTAAACTGGCAGGTTTTTTGTTTACCTAGCACTCTCATTTTTGACAATATCGCCTTGACATTTTTTATTTTCAAGAAAAAAGTAATTCTAGGAAATTTTTGCATTTTTTTTGATTGGCTAGATGGTCGGAAAAATAGAAAAAAATTTGTTTTTGTTTTTGAAAAATGTTAAGATCTTTTTATATTTTTTAACATTTGTCAAAAACAAAACAAAAAAATTTATATTGTTGATTGATTTTTTTTATATTTTTATTTTAATTTATAATTTGAAAACTGGAACGATTATATTCACATAGTTCAAAGTTATTTAAAACCAATTCGAGTGAAGATGTGAACGAGTAACTCCACATTTAGATACATTGAGATGAATTTACAAAACGAAAATTAGTAGAATCTATTTTACGGACTACAGAAGAATTAGAGTTTATATATAAAAATCTGAATTATAAGAACTCTAATCTGAGAAAATAGCACGTTTTGATATAAACTAACAGAATTTGGAAACTCTAAAAAGATAATTTGATTAGTCTAAATTTAGCGCTACGTTGGAAGACATTATATATAGATATAGTTTTTTTTTTCTTTCTTAGTATAGATTAAAGACGCGACCTCCATGAATAAATAATACAAGCGCGTGGAGAATTTACAAAATGATAATATCAATAATAATGATACTAATGAAAATCACCTTAGCTCTGAGAAACGTCCAACAAAGATCAAAGCACATAACAGACATCCAAGCAAACATGGACATACATAAGAAGTACCCGACATAGCCTAATTAAATAGATCAAACACATGATTTCATCGCCTAATTAAATAGATTAAACACATAATTTCATAGCCTAATTAAATAGATTTAAGACATAATTTCAGAGATAAATAGGTAGATAGATAAAATAACATGAGCTGAAAACTTTAGAATGGTGGATATCGGGATTAAGGCTTAATCCACTCTTTTTCTTAATCTCGAGATTAAATATTGCTTGTTCTCCACTCATTTTTAATCTCCAGATTAATTATCCAATCAGGATTAAGGATATCCCATTCTAAAGTTTTCAGCTATGGATAGATAAATAGCATAGATAGATAAAATAACATAGGTAGATAAATAGTATAGATAGATAAATAGCATAGATAGATAAAATAGCATAGGTAGGCAAATAGGTAAATAGATAAAATAGCATAGATAGATTAAAAGCATAGATAGATAATTAGCATAGATAGATAAATAGTATAGATAGATAAATGGCATAGATAGATAAATAGTATTATTTTGTATGTTTTTTAGAATAAGCCCTGAAGATGGTTAAATAAACCGAAAATTTGGCAAAAAGAGTTTTTGTTTCACGGATCTGAGAGTGTTAGATTTTGAAGAATTGTAGATAAATAGTATAGATAGATAAATAGCATAGATAGATAAATAGTACAGATAGATAAATAGCATAGATAGATAAATAGTATAGATAGATAAATAGTATAGATAGATAAATAACAAAAAGAACAGAGTTTTTAAAATAACAATTTTTTATTTTTTATTTTATTCATATTATTACATCACCTGTCCCAACGCAGTACGAAGTGTTGTACTGTATGTTAGCGTTGTACACAACTATTATGTACAATGTTACCAGAAATATGCTCCCAACGTTACTAAAAATTCAACAATTTAAAGAAATAAATATTTTATGCATACACCTTTCAATCTTCGATAGTTGAACCAAAATTGTGATCAAAAAATATATAAATAATTAAAAAAACTTTTGTTATTTTAAGCAAACGAACTTAGTTCACGCCACAAACTCATAATTTCTATTCCCTTATATATCTTTGAACCTGAAGTAAATCTAGAATATTTGATCTAACAGAATTAGAAAAGGAATTGAGTCTTTGTCATAAACTCAAATTTTCCAATCCCTTTATCTTTACAACCTGATAGTCAAAACCTTAGATATTTAAAACTTGATTTGATCCTACATAATTCATAGTTTAAAATATCTAAAAACCGCTACATTAGGTTGCAAAACTATAGAGATAAGAAAATCTTAGTTTGTGGTAAAAATTCAATTTCTTTTTTATTGTAATTTGGTGAAAGTAAATTGAGAATATGAAGCTGTGCTGTGGGTTGTGGCAGAAAGTATAAAACTGCTGTTTCATCAAAAATGAAATTCCGAAAATTAACAGGAACAGGATATGCGGTAGTATTGTGAAAAAGAAGAGAGAAAGGGGGGGGGTAAAGTTGGTTCGATTCAAAAATCATAAAGTCTTTTTTGAATTTGTGCTAGATTATTATGTAATGTAATACACTGTATACAGTGTAAACAGTCTCTTCTATCGACCTGGAAAAAGAAAAAAAATGTAGAATCAGAGTAAGCTGAATTTCTATACAGTAGACGTATTTAAGGAACCATCCAATTTTAAAGTGTCATGTCCGAAGCACAGCGTTACATTTAAAAGCTTTGCATGATCAAAATGAAATAAATATTTGAGTTTTTTTTCATGATATGGTTATTTCAACTGTGGTTTCTTTATAAAAGTGACTTGCTAATTACTTGCTAATTTCCCTCTTGCATATTTTTACTAGAATAATTTTAAACCATGATTCGTAAAAACTTCTTTTAAATATGTTTTAATTTGAAATTTATATTTTTTTAATTTAAAGTTTTAATTTTCTCTTATATTTCAAGCTACCGCTCGTTCATTCTTAGAATATAAGGGTACCGTTGTTAATCTGACAGCTCCTCTTCTGCATAAACTACTTCAAACTTGACAGAGGAAGAAGGTCAAAGGGGGGGGGGTGCACCTTGACACTTTGTGACACCCAATTTTGTACAGGCCGCGTTTAGTTCTAGAAATTGAGATAGAAGGCTGATATTTTGAATTCAGCCTCTAATTTTGGTCGTCTACATGGATCACGAAGAAAATTTGAGATCGGAGATTATTGACCTCCATATTAACCTCCATACTTCCCTCTAATTCACTTAATTTATTTAGTTAATCAGACATATTTTTACACACTTAAACCTACTCACTATATTATGATACATATTTAAACCTACTCACTATACTATGATACACAGTTAAACCTACTCACTATATTATGATACAAAGTTAAACCTACTCACTATATTATGATACACAGTTAAACCTACTCACTATATTATTATACACAGTTAAACCTACTCACTATATTGTGATACACAGTTAAACCTACTAACACTAGGGATGATAGATATACCTTAAAGGGAGTGACCGGCTATGTAAGGTAGTTGAACTGAGTATGCAGTGTTGTTGAAAGCTTCTTTCGGATTCATTTGAGACATATTAAACGTTTTAAAGATCTGTAAATCCTGAGTTTGAGCGCAAATTCGATGTTCAAAACTCCTACTTTGGGGTTGGATACGTTCTAAGAATTAGTTTTTTTTTTAATTATTAAATAACGTCGACATAAAATGTAAAAAAGTTCTACAATAAACTACAGACGTCATGTATAGGAACATGTTTAGAAAATAAAAATTAATCTTTTCATCGAAAATAAGTAATCTTGTTCAATTATTAGTTTCTATTATCTTATTATTCTGGTTCCTCTTTATTCACAAAGAGTTTTTAAGATTTTCTAGAATTATTATTGAAAAGACGACATTTGAAGAATTTGAAGAAATCTGTGAATAAATTCAAAGAAAATTAGAAATTCAATATAATAATAAAAACGAAATAATCGATTTGAGCGTTAATTTATTGACAAATTTCTTTTGAGAAATTTGTTCCTAACCATCCAATTAGACTACTGTATAATTTTTACTTAATTTTCGTTGTCGTTATTTAATAATTAAAAAAAAAACTAATTCTGAAAACGTATCCAACCCCAAAGTAGGCGTTTTGAACGTCGAATTTGCGCTTAAACTCAGAATTTACAGATCTTTAAATAGTTTAATATGTCTCAAATGAATCCGAAAGAAGCTTTCCACAACACTTCATACTCAGTTCAACTACCTTACATAGCCGGTCACTCCCTTAAATCTATTAAAATACAATAAACAAATTACATATATTGACCCAAATAGGATGGGATAAGGGAGTTTGAACTACCGTTTTAAATTTAAACCAAGGATTCAAATTCTTCATTCATTCTTCATTTAACTTTAAATCCTTTGTTCAAATTTGAACCGACAGTTAATATTTCAGCGACATTCATTACATTGTTCTCGGGACATTTCCTCACTCTGTTTTGTTGCCACTTCGCTTTAATTTTTAAAATTAAAAGTTATTGAGCAACAAATAGTATTTTTTTATTCTCTAGAATTTATGATTAACATTTTTACCATTTTACAACTTAATTTAGCACTTTTTTAATTTTTGCTCGCAAATTAATCATTTATGTTAGAAAATAAATCTATGATATACAGCCATCATTATAAATTTGATCTTTTAACACCCAGGGTCCTCCCCCCTTCGCGAGTTTACTTGGACTTTCATGATTAATAATAAATTGTTGGTCTTTTAAAAGGTTTCAATGGCTTGTAAATTTTAAATGAATTTTAAAAACAAACCGCTTTTCCCAGCCCTAGTTTAAACTTAAATTGCATTAAACACAAGTTTTGACAAGCACATTAAATTTTTTAAAAGAAACTTAAACTTTTTTATCAAATTTGATTATAAACTTTAAATTAATAAAAATGTGTCCAACTAAATAACTAATTCAATTTCAAATAAAAAACTCCTCAACCCAAATGAAAGTGTTAGTATGGTAGGCCATTATATCAATATAATTAAGTCAAATGGTTTATTTAAGGTTTTATTGTTAACACGTTTTTTCGAATTACAAGTTTACAAGTTATTAAAGAGAAGCTTTTTTAATTGACTGCTTCTCTTTGTTTCCATTTTTTAGTGTATCCATGCTGTTTGTATTTATATAATTGCCTACCACCTTATATCCTAATGGTTTTATGCTAATTAAAAAATAGAAATATATTCTATATACTTGGATTGTGGCAGCAAATAACAGAGAGAGGGCCGTCGGGTATGGGGGGGGGGCTACAGTGGGACCTTAAGAATTGTGGAATAAAATGACATTATTTTACCAATATCTGATGTTTATTTAATGCATAATTTCCGTTTTTCATGTTCATTAGATCATTCAAGTTTTACAGGCCCCACTGAATGAACAATAGAGGAATCAGGTAGACGTAGATCTTAAAAACATTTCTCACACTAGGAGGCGCTAGTATACATGAAGTTTGTGTTGTATCTGTGGAAACCATAGAAAAGATAGCAAGCAGAATCCTGTTTTCTCTCAGCTTTCTACTGACTCAGTGAACTCTACAGCGGAATACTAATCAAAATGCACAAGTAGCAGCTGTGATCAGACGCCAAGGGGTGACAGCTAGCCCTGGCAGGAAAACCGGGGAAATGGGTGGGGAAGTGTGTGGTTGATTTAAACTTTATATATCTCTATTGTATGAACAACGCTGTGTGGGGGGGGGGAGTATTTTTCAGAAAATTGTCGAATTCCTGAGAACGATACATCCATGTAGGTTCTTGAGCTCTGGTATACTCATGTATACAAGGAATGTTATCAACAAGAACACCTGAATGTAAATACACTGTTACACTCAAAGGATGAGATAATAAAAACGGTCTGAATCTTTGAAGAAATTATCATTTCAAGGTTCAATAAAGGTTCAATATTGTCTTTAAATGGCTTATAATATGATATGAAAAGTCCGTAAGAAGATAATTGTAGGGCTTGCTATATCAGCTAATTAGCTTCTGTTCAAGTTAAATATAATTTCGAAAAATGTTTAACCTCTCTGTCTTACAGAGGTAAAAGAGTTTTTAGAAAATATTGTTCCCAAAAATTATATTTTACATTAACTAATTGGTTGTTTGATATATTGATTGAATTCAATTGAATTCAATTGATTGATTGATTGATTGATGATTGATTACTGGCCTACCTCACTAATGGCTCCGCTGATGGTGTTGATAACTTGAAAAATTCCCTCACTAAAAATATAAAAACAGGTTTTTGTCAATTTAATCCATTAAAATTTTAACATTCTTTTGTCTTTTAGATAGCTATGTTAATAATTTTTAAAACTGATTATCTTCAATTCCATGGTTTCTCTACAAAAGCATGACTTGGGCATTTCTTCTGCAGGATTAAAAGTGAGGATTTATCAGAATTTAGTTTAATAAACGATAATATCTCCCACATTATGATTGATATATTCCTATAAACGATAGAACACATTGTGTATGTCTTGTTTCCATTTCAAATCGCGAGTAAGTATGCTATCTTACCATATCTCTGGAACTGCTGTTTTGTCAATATTTGAATAGATAATGATATTCTTTAATTTCACACAATCTAACTACAAAAAAAAGAGAACTCTATTCTCAACATTACTATAACTCTTATTAATTCCATAGTTCAAAATTCTTGAAAAAGTTTTTTTATCTTCTAAGAATATGAATGTAACATCAATTTTGGAAAGAAAAAATGAAAAAATGTATCCGTAAACTAAAGGATTTTTCTTAACTGAAATACAAATGTATGAACATGCCACTATCGTAAAATAGTTTGTTTGTAAATCAATATGTCTCAATTGTTGTATCTCTGGCTCTAATCTGGATACGGAGATAATAAACATCTAATATTATCTGGATAGGGAGATAATAAACTAGATCTGACAAAGGAGGTTCACTTGAAATTGCCGCAATAATTCTTTTATTTTGATTAACTTCTGTCAGTTTCCAAATTCGATATTTTTTAACGAACTAATTAATACTTTGGAAGAGAATGGAAGTTTCCAGATGACTCCGCAATTTTTCTTCAAACTTTTAAAATTTTATTCAAAACTGTTTCGTACTTTTTTCTTTGTTATTAAACAAAATGTTCATCGTAATATCAAAATATCAAAATGTCGAAATGATTTTAAAATTTTAAAATCCTTATTATAATTAGTTTTTTTTTGGTAAAGTTTATCGAAACTATATAAAAAGCACCACACTTAAGAAAACCCTGTAGCCTAAAGGTTAACCTAATTAAATTTGATTAATTACAAAATATTTGGAAAATTAATTTCATTTTTGGTTAAAAATAAAAAACTATTGAATTATCAGTTGTTTTAATCATATCATTCGCATGCAATTAAGCAACAAAATATGAGATAAATATGTTCTTGCTTGACAATTTAAATATATATTTATATGTATATTTGCGATTTCTGCCTGTTCAAAAACGACTCAACCGATTGGGCCCATTTTTTGTGGCAATTTAAATGACCCCATGAAGGGTTTATGGTCGGTCATTTTTTTTTTAATTTTCAGTGAAAAAAATAAAAATTTATTGATTTTAAAAATTCGCCATGGAATTTGAACAGAAAAATCTGCGAGTGAATTAAAAAAAAAATAAAAAATCTAATTTAATTAAATAAATGTTCTGAAAATAATGGTATTCTTTAAAGTCTAAAAAGAGAACAAGTTGATTTTCATTATATTATTCATGATTTTTTTCTTAAACATTTTCTGCAAAATAATGGTATTTTTAAAAGAGAATTAACTAAAACTGTTTATTTTTTGACTTATAATTAGTTCAACGTTTTATTTAGTTGAAATTAAATGACGGTTTACATAATCTTAAACTCCTCAGGACATGATATGGTTGTTACGATCAAATCTCGGAATTTTTTCTATTGTGAAAGTTTGGTGTTGTCTGGGTTTTTATATTGATCTACCAGGGGTTGTAATCTGGCAGCACATTCATCCATCCACGCTTCATTCATACTGAGAAGAGGGTTGACAAGATTCCAGCTACCTAAGATTCTTCTTAGGCCTGAGAATATAGAGTGCAGGAATCCTTCTGATATACTGGAATGAGGCCCGGGTGCCATACTGATAGGAAACATCACACTCATTGCTCCCTAACATCTGTAAGCCCGGATTGGAATGGATACCCCCAGGTACCTATAGCTGGCAACCATCGACTCTCCCTGCTTGTCCACCATTCCTCTCTTTATCATCATTCACTTGGATCAATCCCACTTGAAGCTTCTTTCTTGTTGAGTAGAAAGCGCGCACCCTTTTGCTGCAAGGGTTGTTGACAGCCACCCCTCCTGTCCTCCTGCATCCGTCAGGTGGTCATAAATGCTTAACCAGATGACGGCTTCAGATGTTTTTGAAACCCCAGGTTTGAGTGGAGTACGGGAATCGAACCCGTGAACACCAGTCTGGATACCAATCCAGTTACTGGCTGTGGACAAGTGTGCTTAACTTCAGTGTTCTAACAAGAACTGTTGTCACACACTCTCCACCCCACCCAACAAACCTCTCCACCCCACCCCACGAAACTGCAATTTGATCCACTAAAGATACAATTCAGAGAAAGACATCGATGAACAAAATTTTTGGATCAAACGATGGAGAAATGACATAAATCGCTTAGAGAAATGTAATTAAAAACTAACATTAAATCAACAAAAATCTGACGAACAAAATTTCTGAAAGATTTTGAAAAAACTATCGTTAGTTTACTGAACGATCGACTGAACGATCGATTGTTTCGGTACATATCAGTACAGCGTGTTAAATGTACGGTACATACCTAACTCTGGTGCAGGAATATTCAGAAGTATTCTTGAATAACTGTTCTTGAAGAATACGTTGGATACAGTAGATTACAACCTCCTCTACTCTCCCTTCCACCAGTATGTTATCAACACAGTAGTTTTCCGTTAACCCGTATTCTAGAAACATGTTATCAATACAGTAGAATTATCCGTTACCCTGTATTCTAGAAACATGTTATCAATACAGTAGTTATCTGTTAACCCGTATTCTAGAAACATGTTATCAATACAGTATTATCTAACCCGTATTCTAGAAACATGTTATCAATACAGTATTATCCGTTACCCTGTATTCTAGAAACATGTTATCAATACAGTATTATCCGTTACCCTGTATTCTAGAAACATGGTATTAAAACTGTAGTTATCCGTTAACCCGTATTCTAGAAACATGTTATCAATACAGTAGAATTATCCATTACCCTGTTTTCTAGAAACATGCCATCAATACAGTTATTATCTGTTAACCCGTATTCTAGAAACATGTTATCAATACAGTAATTATCCGTTAACCCATATTCTAGAAACATGGTATTAAAACTGTAGTTATCCATTAATCCGTTTTCTAGAAACATGTTATAAATTCAGTAATTATCCGTTAACCCATATTCTAGAAACATGGTATTAAAACTGTAGTTATCCGTTAACCCATATTCTAGAAACATGTTATCAATTCAGTAATTATCCGTTAACCCGTATTCTAGAAACATGGTATTAAAACTGTAGTTATCCGTTAACCCATATTCTAGAAACATGTTATCAATTCAGTAATTATCTGTTAACCCATATTCTAGAAACATGTTATCAATACAGTATTTATCCGTTAGCCCGTATTCTAGAAACATGTTATCAATACAGTAGTTATCCGTTAACCCATATTCTAGAAACATGTTATCAATACAGTAATTATCTGTTAACCCACATTCTTGAAACATGTTATCAATACAGTATTTATCCGTTAACCCGTATTCTATAAACATGTTATCAATACAGTAGTTATCCGTTAACCCATATTCTAGAAACATGTTATCAATACAGTAACTATCTGATAACCCGTATTCTAGAAACATGTCATCAATACAGTTATTATCTGTTAACCCGTATTCTAGAAACATGTTATCAATACAGTTATTATCCATTCCTTTATATCTAAACCAGTTTAAATATAAACTGTAATGATAAATAAACATAAAGAAATCAAATTGATTTAAAGACGCATAAAAACCTCAAATTTGAAAAATTGTTTAATTTGTTTGCTTATATTGTGATGTGCGAAGGAACTGCTCTGTAACCTCTGAGAAAAGAGATACGGAGAAACTTCTGATTTTTCTAAACATATCTAATCCCACCGTTCAATAGTATTCAAATCTAACTTTTTAAAAGTGTCAAACATTTATTGAAATTCTATGTTTGGACTGAGAAAGATAAAACACTTTTCTGTTTACTGAGTTTTCTTAAAGTTCATATTTCAACTGCGGTCAATTTCCTGTTTACAGCAATATGTATTTATGTCTATTTATAACATAATAATATAATAGATAATAGATAGAATTTGATAAAGAACCTTTATATTTCTATGACACACCCTTTTTCAAAGATGAGAAATGTGGCGAAACAGAAATTACTTTACTTTACTTTTAATTGATTCTTTTTAAACTATGTTTACCCTTCAAATATAGACTTCCATTTTGTAGTAGATAGTATTCATCCAATTCATCCAGCTTTACAGTTTCCTGAATATATATTCATATATTTTGTAGTAGATTGTATTCATCCAATTCATCCAGCTTTACAGTTTCCTGAATATATATTCATATATTCTGTAGTAGGTAGTATTCATCCAATTCATCCAGCTTTACAGTTTCCTGAATATATATTCATATATTTTGTAGTAGATTGTATTCATCCAATTCATCCAGCTTTACAGTTTCCTGAATATATATTCATATATTTTGTAGTAGGTAGTTTTCATCCAATTTATCCAGCTTTACAGTTTCCTGAATATACATTGATATATTTGAGTTTTGTCAAAGGGGGTCAATCGGTTTAGCCGTTATAACGTTTATTGGATACAAACAACAGACAGACACCCAGACGAACAAAGTATTTAGATATATGGAATTAGGTAAGGAACTCTTTTATTCAATATTTTGTGGTAACGTTTTTTTATTGCTAAACGAGATCGAACTTCTGGGTTGTTTTCCATCACAGTGTGCAGTACAGTACAGTGCAGTACAGTACTTCAGAATATATAACATAACCCCATACTAACTGTGATCTTGCCAGGCTACATTTGTTGCATAAAACGTGCTGGCCCGACTCTAAACTGGTTAGCCTGACTGGACAGCACGACTGAATGCACATACAGTACAGGTTGTACCAGCACGGATTATGCAACTTTGAGACTGGGGTGTCGACTGAAGACTCATTTGAAGTATTGTACCAAAAAATCTACCTTAAAGCAGCTAGAACAAGTAGTACAGTACATGTACATGTATCGTACGGTACAGTTCAGTCCGCCAATTAAATAATCTTTTTAGACATATTAATGTGTCCTTACCTTACAGTTAACCAACTTGTTTGGGAAGAGTTTGTTTAGTTGAAGAAACTGATGATGATAAGAAACCTGTACTCCTCCCTCTGGGACTGGTTCTATAAAACAACAAATATATATCGTGGGACCCATTCATCTTTAGAGTAGGAAAATTGTAGTTTAAGCAATAATTATTTTGCGTATTTTATGGTTTTTACCAGAAGCTTGAAAATCAGCTGTTTACGTGATAAGGGTCTATGTACGCTAAACACAGTTCAAATTCTATGTTTAATTGGAATATTTGAAATATAACTTGATTCTAACACTAGTTTAACAGTCATCTTCCTTTACCACAATATTTTGGGCATTCAAGTTCAAATTACTTGACAGACTCTTAAATAAATATTTTACGACCTATATCATCATATCATCATTTATAAATATTTGATGTTTCGAAAATTTTAAATTTTTGCATTTTTGGTTTAATGATTATCCCCCTTTGTGAAGGATAGAAAGGTTTACTGATAATTTTGTGAAAAAGGGGTTTTCACAGCATTTTTGGTGCTAATTTATTTAAATTTTTTATAACGTTTCAAACTAATTGTCATGCAAACAAATTTGTACCAAATGTTCTAGGGCTTCATTAATTTTAATTTGTAAATCTGAATGTTTAGTGTATTTCAGTTTATTTTTTATTTTACAATCAAGTATGAGAAAAACACTCTCCACTAAATGCTATTATATCTTCGGTATGTGTATTTCAAATTTCGGCAGAATGCATCGAAATCTTAGCTGAGGGTGATTCGGTTACATATTAAAAATTCAAAACATCATATTTTTCTCCAAAGAATCAGTTTTGTCAATTACAGTGTACAGTACATCCTAGTTGAGCACACTTGTTAGAAATTCATACTTTCCGGTCATTTATTTCCGAACTGTGTACTGCAGTTGCATGCTGCATATTGTTGTTTATAAACAGTTTTATATTGTAAACAAGACAAGATTTAGAGGATTTGTTAGGGACGAAAGAAAATCACAAGGGGCAGAGAATATCTTGGGTGGTAGGGGTGGGGGGGGGGGGAAGGTTGATCATCTTTGTCTATTGTTTCCCCGAAATAGGCTTTAAAATATTCTCAGATATATTCAAAAATAATAAGTTATCATGGAACACATATAAGCTTTCAATCTTAAATGCAATTCACTATGGATATCCCTGAACTATGGATTTCCGTGAACTATGGATATCCCTAAACTATGGATTTCTGTGAACTATGGATTTGTCTAACAAACATGATTTACTAGAGCTTTTACTTTGCTAACAAGGGCTCAACAATGTTCTGTTTCACCATTTTTGCGCAAGCCAGAATAAAAATTGCGCGAATCGTTAGGCAAATATTTACTTTAAAAAAGAAAAAGGGTGAAGAATCCGGCCCTTTGGCGGGAAAAATTTAGATGTTGATAAAAGAAAAACCTCGGTCAAACAACTTTGAACACCGCGGTTTTATACCTTAAACATGAACAAGAGTCCAGAAACTTATTATTGAATAAACAATTCGTATTCATGACTTTCATTTTGCATTTATTTAGGGCCAGCGTTTCATAAAAAATCTTAAAGACACTCGGTCGAAATAAAAATATATTTCAAATAACTTTTTTTATTCTAAAACTGAAAACACAAATTTGTATAAAACCATAGATTTTTAGAGAAAAAAATTAAGTGTTGAAGTGTTAACGAACTGTTCGTTTAAATCTCTAGAAAGCCAAAAAACGAAATTAGTGTGGATAAAACATTCGCTTTGTCAATATTTCTAAATTTTATATGATTGCTTCTTTAAAAAGATTCTGCAAGTAGAAAAAAACATATGAAAGTCTTAAAACATATATGTTTTTACTTTTGTTACTGTGCTCGTTATTTTTACAAATTATTTTTAGATTATTTTCTAGAACAGGTATATCGTTAAGGATATTTAACGATCGTTAAATTTTGTCTGAAACAGAAAACCTTCGTTTACGAAACAACCAAAAATAATAAAAATACTACTTCCTTTTCTTAAATTAAAAAAAAACTATTGTTTTATTTAAAACTGCTATTTCGTTTTTTCCTACATCGTCAGCGGAACGATCGGTTCGTTATTAAGCAAGTGAAAACAATCCCTTCCTAGTCTTTACCTGTATCCTGACTGGTATTGAACCTCCACAGATGATCTGCAGATAACGAACTAACACAGGAAACTGTTCCTTCTTACGAACAAAATCCTATTATTGATAAATTTGCATTTGAAAAATTCTCTTCGTAAATCAACCCAACTTTTAAATTTTATAAAAGAAATAATAAAATGATGATTATAATTTTATATGTAAAATAATCATATGATAATAATAACTATAATAATAATTATAATAACAATAATAATAATAATGATAATAATAATAATAACAATGATAATAATAATGATAATAATAGTAAAAATAATAATAATAATAATGATAAAATCTTTAAACATAATGAATCTTTAAATTTGTTTGTATAAGATTATATTCCTATTTGTAAAGTTTGGTTGCTTGGACAACACTTGGATACACAGCTAGTAGAGGAACAACCAGATTTAGGGATACAGATATATCCATAGATCTAAACAGATATATCCATAGATCTAAACAGATATATTATTAGATATAAACAGATATATTCAATAGATCTAAACAGATATATTCTATAGATCTAAACAGATATATTATTAGATATTAACAGATATATCATAGATCTAAACAGATATATTATTACATATAAACAGATATATTCAATAGATCAGAACAGATATATCAATAGATCAAGTATAGAGACAGATATAGATCTAAACTCAAAATTATAGTTTAAACTCGGTTTTTCCTCAGGATTCTTTTCCAAATCCTTTACGTTAGTTTCAAGTTTAAAGAAGAAAAATATATATTTGAAAAGAACCGGAAAGGTGCTTTAATTTTAATGCTCTTATTAAGAAGTTCTGGGAAACCGACAAGAAAAAAGATTTGTATATTTGTACTTTGAACTATAAACAAAAGGAGAAGGTCAACCTTGAGAGGCATTACTAGTTTGACTCTGTAACCTCATAGCCCCCCTAGTTTTGATTTAACGCACAAGAAAAAAAAGAAATCATTTTTGTTCGTCAATTAGAGGAGGCAAAATTGAAAACATAAAATTGAAATCGTACATTCGATTTACTTTAGTATATGACGTGGATTAGAATATTTTGACATAGAATTTATGTTGTTGTAGACAGACGTCAATTGTGATAAAATAGAGAAATTTTGGACATTCATTTTTCATGAAAGGATGGATTCATTATAAAATAAGAAGGCTCAAATCTAATAACAAAGTATCTAAGAATTCTAAGAACACATCAACTATATGAGAGACAACAATATAATTAGAAAGATTCCAACTAAGGTTGAAGAATTTCAAGTCTAACTAGATATTAATGCGTTAGTGGACATGTGATGTAAAACTAGGTAAAATGGTAGTTTTGAAAATGAAAGGAAAAGTCTGTTAGCGAACGGCAAAAACCTACAAGTTTTAGATCGTTAACTAACGGATGTGTTTCAAAGCGATGTTTCGTTTTTTCCTTTAAATTTTAGATCGGTAACTAACGGATGTGTTTCAAAGCGATGTTTCGTTTTTTTCCTTTAAATTTTAGATCGGTAACTAACGGATGTGTTTCAAAGCGATGTTTCGTTTTTTGCTTAAAATTACGTATTATTAGTTAAATAACAGATTTTTTTATGTATTTTCACATTTTTTTTCATGTGTTTTGATCTAGATAGATCTTGACAGGTCTAGACAGATCTAGATAGATCTAAACAGATCTAGATAAATCTAGACAGATCTAGATAGATCTAGACAGATCTAAATAGATCTAGATAGATCTAGGTAGATCTAGATAGATAGATAGAGATAGTAAATATATTTTACCTGGTTATATTTATCATGATCCAGACAGTGATATTCCAGCTTAGATCCGTCCTTCAGTACAATAGTACCATCATTCAGTACATGTACCACCTATACAGTGTACATTATACAGTTGTACCATCATTCAGTACATCATGTACCACCTATACAGTATACAGTTGTACCATCATTCAGTTCAGGTACCACCTATACAGTGTACAGTATACAGGTGTACCATCATTCAGTACATGTACCACATATACAGTGTATGTACAGTATACAGTTGTACCATTATTTAGAACATGCACTGCCTATACAGTTAACAGTTGTAACATTATTCAGTACATGTACCACCAATACAGTGTGCAGTTTACGTACTATCATTCAGTATATGCATCACCCATACAGTGTACAGTCGTTCTTCCATCGGTCTTTTTTTTCTGAATAACACCATCATTCACAAAAAAAATTTAATTTTTCTAACAAATTTTGTGCTGTTTACAGGGTCAAGTAAAGAATAGAATCAGAAAGGAAAATGAAAGAAAATAAGTTGAAAAAATGTTGTATCACAGTCGCTAGTAAAATGCACTGAAAATGAAAATGCCTGGAATTTTCTCGGAGAATTCTTTTATTTCCTCGAACTTTGTTTACACAAACACAGGAAAACGAAATGTATGTATCAGCATTTTAAGTTAAACACAAGATATTTGAAAGGAGAAGTAATTTTCCTTGAATTAGAAACTTTAAAGAAATCAAATGCTCAATAGAACTCTCAAATAACAAAAGTTTCGTTTACAGTTTTAACTTACTCGGCATTAGATCGACCGTTGTGTGGTTATTTTTATTATTGTTATTGTTCTTCTAAAGCTATTCGTGGCAATAAATTTAGCATAGAGTATCAATAAACCCCATTTCATTAATCCTCAATTTTTAAAAAATGCCATTTATCTTCATATTTTAGATACACAGAAATAACATCGGCTTTGAAACAATGAAGTTTATTAACCCATCATAGGCCAGAGGAATTTTCTCTTTAATTGACTGAAATTTTGAACATCATCAACGTTTGACCAATATATATGTGACATTTTTTCTAATTTTTCATTTACATTTGGAAAGAAAAAGGAAAAAAAGCCAAGCGCATCATCTCTACTGAATATAAATATTATGACAAGCTTCATGCAAGCTCTATTACGAGATACAATCATTAATCAAAACAAAAAAATGATGGAATTTGAAAGGGACTGTTGCCTAATTTTAAATGACCTTCTATTTAAAGAGAGGCTAAATTCTTCTATTGTTTTCTTGCAATGGAAATGAGCAATCCACTTTTTTAGAGATCCACAATTGAAAATAATTAGTTAATCAAAGTTAAAAATATAGATATCTTATCAATGTTTGTCGAGGGTACCTTTGGAAATCGGACCCTCTATAAATGGAGGGTATCTTGAAATAATAACTTTGATGATGAGGAGACACTATACTGTTTATTAAACCCTAGCGTTGATCTGCCAAGCTTATGATTTATTATAATTTAGTCTTTTTACACTCGCTACATTAAACATACATCTACATAATTAAGTCTATATATATATATGTATGAATTCAAAACTTCAGATTAATACTTGCATTAGAATTTAGAATCAATGTTGGAACAAATTGAGAGATTGAAGTTTGCAACAGCTTTCAGGGTCCCCTCCGATGGAGCGGAGGCCACCAGAGGGAGATTGTTTCCACCGAAAGGAAACGTTTTTTTATTTCTTCACTGCTAATTACTCCATTACTCAGGACACTAATTATTCCATCGGGGGGATGGTAATTAACACTCAGAAAACTAATTAATCCACATAAAAAATGGAAATTAACACCCAGAACACTAATTACTTCACCGGAGGGAGGGTAATTAAAACTGACAACACTAATTACTCCATAAGAGGGAGGGTAATTAGCACTCAGGGCAATTATTATTCCATCGAAGGGATGGTAATTAACACTCAGAACACTAACAAATTACTACAAATAATAGATGGTACTGAGCATTCAGGACACTAATTACTCCACCAGAGGGATGGTATTTAACACTTAGGACACTAATTACTCCATCGGAGGGATTTTAATTAACAATCATGACACCAATACGCCATGGGAGGGATGGCAATTAACACTTGGGACACTAATTTGTTGGGATGATAATGAAAACTCCAAACACTAATTACACCCCCAAAGGTATGGTATTTAATACTTTCTCCAATGGAGTAATTAGTGCCCCAAAGGTGAATTACTAGCCCTCCTAAACATTATTTGGATATGAAAATGTTGTCTTTTACCTTGTCAATTATTTGGATATGAAAATGTTATTTTATACCTTGTCAATTATTTGGATATAAAAATGTTGTTTTATACCTTGTCAATTATTTGGATATAAAAATGTTGTATTATACCTTGTTAATTATTTTGATATAAAAATGTTGTTTTATGCCTTGTCAATTATTTGGATATAAAAATGTTGTATTATACCTTGTCAATTATTTTAATATAAAAATGTTGTTTTATACCTTGTCAATTATTTGGATATAAAAATGTTGTATTATACCTTGTTAATTATTTTGATATAAAAATGTTGTTTTATGCCTTGTCAATTATTTGGATATAAAAATGTTGTATTATACCTTGTCAATTATTTGGATATAGTTTGATGAACAGAATCCATAAGAAGACTGGATACTCCAATTACTGCACACACAAATATATTTTTGAAAACAAAATATTAAAATGAAGTTGAAAACTCTGAAAACGTGTTATTTTTCGATATCAGATTCTTTTTTAGTTCAAATTTAGATAAATAAAGTAATTTAATCTTGCATTTGAACCCGACCCTTCCTTTATGAACTGAACAGATATTTACTTTGTTGAACTGAATGGACTGTGCTGAGGTAAGCTAATTCAATATTTCCTCTATTACTTCTAAAATATTTAAGAATTTCCTGGCAGATTATTAAAAGGTTAGATATAAGTTTCCAGTCAAAATACCGTTGCGCGGAATTGCGCGGAATTGCGCGCAATGATTGCTTCCGCTTGCGCCATTTCATTGCGCAGAATTGCGCTATAATTTAATATTCTCAAACATTTGAAACACAAACTAAAGAAAGTTGGACGGAATTGCGCGGATGAAAGAAAGAATTAATGAATGAATTTGAAGAAATGAATATATCCCTGGTTGATTGAAGAGTATGGTTTGAATGAATTAGTCTAGGCGGGAACCAGAATTTATTCCTAAATATAAATAATTAAAGGAATTGTTAACGAAATATTAAAGGGACTGAAAGCGCAATTTCAAGTGAGCCTCCAGAAAAGATGGCATTGCCCGATACACAACCGTACCCGTAAATTCAGGCCCGTAACCAGGGGAGGGTGCAAGGGAACTGGTGCACCTCCCTTTTCTATTCAAAGGGGGATGCAATGACGAATTTGTACACCCCCTCCCTTTTTTTAGATAAGGTGATCGGTAAAAGTTTCTCTTGAAAAATTGAGATATTAGCATTCAAAGTTGTCTAAATTTGATAACATCCTGTGACCTGTAAACTGTATTGTGCTCCTGAGCCCATATTATGCAACACCCCTCTTTGCATATCCCCCCCCCCCCCCCAACCCTTGGGAAAATTCTGGCTACGGGACTGCGTAGATTGTCTGATAAAGAATTAATTAGATTTCAATGTTTACAATTTTGAAAACTGAATATTTTCGGTTGTGGTTTCTCTCCAATTGGGATTTGTGGATTTCTACTGCAGGAAAACAGCGATTATCTGAATTTAATACTTTTAAACCTAGAGCTAAGGTTTCAAGGGTACCGTTGTGATTCGGGCATTGCAATCTTTGCTTGGAGGGTCACTTGAATTTATGCATATCTTCCCTTTCAGTAACCCTCCGTTAAACTTATTCAATAAGTTTGCATACTCTTTTAGATCTTAATTATTTAGAAAGGAAAAACAAGCTATGTGAATTAAGTAAGTTTTAGCCCGTTAAAGGGTTCAGTTTTGAATCATGTATGGCACTCTTTAAGGTTCACTCGGAACAAATTCCTTTGTATTGCATTTTTAATTCTTAAATAAAATCCAAATAGTTATAAAAGCAGGAATATAGTTTCATCAGTGAATTTGTTTGTATTAATCATTTTTATAAATAGATTGAATATATACATAACAATACAATCATATTATGCACGCAGTACATTGCTCCCTCAGACTCATATTGGTTAATATTTGATGAATGTTATCATAAACTTTATATCTATTCATTTTACTTTTTTCAGAAATATATAGATTCCACACAGACATACATAAATAAAAAATTAAGTAAGTCATGAGTATAAAGCAATCTCAACCAGACTTTTTTATTTTTTATCTTTAAAAGCGTTTTAATATTGTAACTTGCAATGTAAGAATTGCAAAAATCAAAATGAATTTTGTTATTTTTGATAAATTGTTGATCTTTTAAAAGATTTCCATAAAATGGTCCAGACTCAAGAGAGAAAGTGCAGCAATAAAATCCAATTTTTGATAGTGCCAAATTTTCAATTATATCAAAATAATGTATTTTTTTGGTAAAGCAGAGAACACATTTCCGAATCTAAAAGTAACCTTGAAAATAAAACAATTGCAATTATTTATTTTCATATTTGCCTTGATAGTATAATGTTGCTTCTGTACGCTCTACCCAATATGTTTAACAATTAGGACTCTGTAAGTTGATTTTCGACTGAACCAGAAAGACCACTTCTAGAATCAATTTATTACTCTAAACTATTTTGAGAGTGAAGAGAAGGGGATTTACTTTTAAAAACAATATTTATTCTTACCCTTAATATCAATTAAAACACTTACAAAGGAAGCGCAAAGACGGCGATCATTATTTATTGTCTTTAAAATTTACCTAGTAGTTTGTTTAGCACAAGTTCCAGTTTCTATATTCAACTCTTCATCAGGTCCACAGCATTTTCTAAAATTAAAGGGACCGCTACACAGTTTTAAAAGAAGAGTAATACGCCACAGACAAAATGTTCTAGAACATTAGATTGCTTTTTAAAGTCGGGATTGTGTGTTGCTTTATTAATATTTTTAAGAAATTTTCTGTCCTTTTCTGCTTCAGACATAATAGCTTGTTGACATTAACATGGAGTAGGTTTAGGTTAGGCTACCAAACCTAATGGATTTATAGTGTAAGGGTAGGCTATCTGTTGGTATGGTGAAGGATAAGATTATCTACCTGAGGGTATGGTGATGGATAAGATTATCTACCTGATGGTATGGTGAAGGTTAGGGTAGCTAGACTACCTGATGGCATGGTGAAGGGTAGAGTTGACTACCTGATGGTATGGTAAAGGTTAGGGTAGACTATCTGATAGTATGGTGAAGGGTAGGGTAGACTACCTGATGGTATGGTGAAGGGTAGGTTAGACTACCTGATGGTATGGTGAAGGGAGGGTAGACTACCTGATGACATGGTAAAGGATAAGATTATCTACCTGATGGTATGGTGAAGGATTAGATTATCTACCTGTTGGTATGGTGAAGGATAAGATGATCTACCTGATGGTATAGTAAAGGGTAGGGCAGACTATCTGATGGTATGGTGAAGGATAAGATTATCTACCTGATGGTATGGTGACGGTTAAGGTAGACTACCTGATGGTATGGTGAAGGGTAGGGTTGACTACCTTATGGTATGGTAAAGGTTAGGGTAGACTACCTGATGGTATGGTGACAGTTAGGGTGGACTACCTGATGGTATGGTAAAGGGTAAGGTAGACTATCTGATAGTATGGTGAAGAGTAGGGTTGACTACCTGAGGGTATGGTAAAGAGTAGGGTTGACTACCTAATGGTATGGTGAAGAGTAGGGTTTACTACCTAATGGTATGGTGAAGGATAGGGTTTACTACCTAATGGTATGGTGAAGAGAAGGGTTTACTACCTAATGGTATGGCGAAGAGTAGGGTTGACTACCTAATGGTATGGTGAAGAGTAGGGTTGACTACCTAATGGTATGGTGAAGAGTAGGGTTTACTACCTAATGGTATAGTGAAGGGTAGAATTATCTACCGAATGGTATGGTGAAGGGTAGAATTATCTACCTAATGGTATGGTGAAGGGTAGGGTGAAGTATAATGGTATTCTCGTCCTGTACGGAAATAATTCTAGAATCCTGACACCGTACAGCAATTAAACTAGATTCAGCCGGATCCTGAGCAAAAACAAAAATAAATAATTAAAGTAACAAACTCAAATAAAAAATATAATTGCAAATTAGTCTCAGAACTGAATTCAAAGGCTTAATTAACAATTTTGCATTTTACAATGAACAACATGTACTGCAGGCTGCAGTGTACAGGGTACCCTGACACCTGTAAATATTGGGACCAGAGCCCAAAACTTAAGACAGGGTATTATTGTTAAAACCAATTTTAGAACCCGGGTTTCACAAATGGGGTGTGGCAGTTTTGTCAATATCAATATTTTTGTTTTGAAATATTATTTTATTAGATTTATTCATATTCTCCATTTTTTCCGGCATATCTTAAATCAAATATGCACACAAATGTTAAGACCCCAAAGAGGAAACTCTGGAGTTTCGTTCAACAATACTCTTTTAAATTTCGAACTCGGAGGCCGAAATTTAAAAGAGTATCGTTGAACAAAACTCCCGAGTTTCCTTTTTGGGGTCTTTACTTTTGTGTAGATTTTAATTTTAGAGATTCGAAAAAATGGATAATTTAAAAAAACCTGAAGAAATAATATGTCATTACAAAAATATTGATAATCACAAAAGTGCCTAACCCCATTCGTGAAACCCGGGTTTTAAAACTGGTTTCACTAACGATACTCTGTCTTAAGTTTTGGGCTCGGGGGTCATGTTAGGAACAATAAACAGGCATGGAACGTAGCGAAGCATGGGAAGGGATGGCTTCACTTCCTGAGTTTTCTTTGCTTTGTTTTGGTTGATCCAGACTAAATACGAATGTCTTGGATGGATACAAATGTTAGAGGAATTGGATTCAAATGAGCTCAAGATAAATCCACATGTTGATACAGGACATGGATACAAATGTTGCAAAAGATATATTTGAATGTTGATACTGGATGGATATGAATGTTGAGGATGGTTATGAATGTTTATTGGTTCAGGATGTATATGAATGTTTACGAGGTTGGATTTAATGGAGCTAAATGTTATTGTTGATTGTTGATCCAATCTGGATATTAATGTTAATGATGGATACATATGCTAGGGGATGGATTCAAATGTTTCTAAAGATGAACTCGAATGGTAATACAAGATAGATACGAATGTTATGATTATTAATTTGATACAGGATGGATTTGATTGTTAATCCAATCTGGATATGAATATTAAGAATGGATACATTTGCTAGGAGATGGTGTCCAATGTTGCTGAAGATATACTTGAATGATGATACAGGATGGGTACAATAACGAATGTTATTTTGGATTATGAATTTGATACAGGTTGAATTTGATTGTTGAACCAATCTGAATACAAATGTTAAGGATGGATTGGATACAAATGTTAGGTGTTGGATTCAAATGAGAAAAAGATACATTCAAATGTTGTTAAAGGATAGATAAGAGTGTTGAGGATGGAATCATGAATTGGATACGGGTTGAATTAGATTGTTGATACATTGGATATAAATGGATGCAAATGTCAGGGGTTGGATTCAAATGTTGGTACTAGATGGATACAAATGTTATGCTGGATTAAAAATTTTATACAGGTTGGATTTGATTGTTTATCCAATCTGGATATGACGCTATATTCATATCATTTCTATATCAACATTCATATTCATCCTTTTGCAACATTTATATCCAACATATATCAACATTAATATCTTGCATACATCAACATTAGTGTCCATCCCATCCATTGCACTCATATCCATTCTGTTTCAACATATGTATCCATGCAATATCAACATTTGTATCCATCCTATATCAACATTCATATCAATTAAATATCAATATTTATATCTTGCATACATCAACATTAGTGTCCATCCCATCCATTGCACTCATATCCATTCTGTTTCAACATATGTATCCATGCAATATCAACATTTGTATCCATCCTATATCATCATTCATATCTGCCCTTTTCGAGTCCAATGTTAACTCAATGTTAACCCCAGCTCCCCCACCATCCAACCCTAACCAGCAAGCTACATTAATATCCTTTCTATATGAACTTACATATCCATTCTACATAAAAACATTTATATCCATCCTATTCAATTCCATTACACTGCTATCCTTCCTGTATCAACATTATTATCCATCCTTTCTTTATAAACATATTTGTATCCATTCTACATCAACATTTGTATCCCTCCTTTAACAACATTCATATCCATCCTATTCAATTCCATTACACTGCTATCCTTCCTGTATCAACATTCTTATCCATCCTTTCTTTATAAACATATTTGTATCCATTCTACATCAACATTTGTATCCATCCTTTATTAATATTTGAATCCATGAGAATATTATGTAATCCCAGCCTTCCCACCAACCCTCTAGTACTAAGCAAGCTGTCAAGATAACCTAGCACCAGCGAGGTAAGCTGTCAAAATGAATTTCAAGAAAGGAATATAAAACGCGGCATTCGGGAAAATTCAGAAAGAGAAGCCATCTTCTCCCTTGCTTCGCTACGTCCCATGCCCATAAACATTGTTATTTAAACTACCTGAGCATGATTTTGCTTATATTTTATGTCAATGCATGAATAGTTGAAGGATCCAACATGGTTCATAAATGTCTTCTCTGAATGATCCCACAAAGAATCCACGAGCACAACAGCTGATCTGGCGCCTGGTAACATAACAACCTTCCAAACCAAACCAAGATTAATTGAAAGCAGCCAAAGTTGTATTGGTTAAGAAGAAGTTTTTTTTCGTGCTTTTCACATTATTTTTCTTGTAATTGAAAAATTATCTGAGCCGCGATTTAAAAAACTCGGGAAAATACGGTTCGGGTCTAAGCTGTTATTGCGTCTTATTTACGGATTGAGCTTTTAGACTTAAACTGCATCTTATTTTGCACTGAGTTGAGTTTAAAAAAGCGGTTCAATATCTATTTGGCGGATTTTTATGGAAGGAATTGGCGCATTCTTGTTTTTATGACAGCAAGACTCAACATTGAGCCTTACTCTCTACTAAAACAAACTAAGGTCGGTTTTATTTTCATTGGGTCTAACTCCGAAAATCTTGCAGCTGTCAATCAAGTGACACAAGCTGTATAAAACTCAACACTCTTGGAAAATGTCTTGAAGTTTGGCAACAAAAAATGTCAAATGTCAGAATGTTATTAGAATTCAGGAAATTACATTATTTTATTCATGTTAAGGGGGGGGGGGCCGGGGGGATTTAAAGAATAAATAAGTTAAATATTGGTTCCTCAAACTCTTGTCTTTCTCCAACTGGACAGTCAATCCTCCCTTAACAAACAAAAAATTATGTTTAAATGTTTAAAAATTAATTCAATATATATAGCGCAGTTTTTTCAAAATTATGATTCCTTATTCAGAGCTAGTGTTAAGTAATGCGGCCATGGTAAGATTTTTTCATTTTTTCATTTTGTTTGTTCTTCGATCATAAAGGACCCATTTCGTTCAGTAAAAAATTGTCGTTCTATCAAAAGTTTGTCTCAAAAAACTTTTATTCAATTAAAAAAACGATAAAACAATGTTCGTTCATTTAAAAACACGATAATTTCATCTAAATCTTTTGGACAATTTGTTAGTTCAGAAAATAAACAATCTTTAAAATGATTTTAAATTGTTCGTTTAAGTTTTTTTTTAAATAAACGAAAGTTTTTCATTTAACTGAATGATCCAAGTTGTTCGTTTATTCATAGATTTTTTCTAAAAGATCGTGATCGTTTACGAAAAATGTAGTTCATTTTCAACAAAAATGTTGTTCATTCACAAAAATAATTCCTGTCTCTAGCAGTAAGCTATGAGCGCCATGAATCACTATAAACACCTAGATGAGAAGTCAAAAAGGAATAAACCAAAACCTTTATTAAACTAAAGCTAAACAAATCAAGTGCTTTGCAATTTTAAATTTGTTTTATATTCTAGTCAACCAACATGCAAAAAATGAGCATGGGTGGGAAATTGAGGCCTGGGAACACTTTAATATCGGCCCTGTATTACATGTTGATGCATAATTTTCAATACTTAAGTATTTTCTATTTTTTCCCGGGATAAGATGTTTTTACCCTTATTATTTAGATATTGTAAACAAGCATTATAGGGTGATATATACTGTTAGTTGCCAATAAATAATAAATGTATAATCGATTATACTCTCAACCTCAATTAAATAACTTTGGCTTATACAGGGGCGTACAAGGGGGTGGGCGCCCCCCTCTACACGTGCCCCCCTATGAGGCTGGGGGGGGGCACCCAAGGGGGAGGCTCTTTTAATATTACATCTGCTTGCACTTCCCTTCCTCAGGTCAGGCACAGTGGTGTACCTAGGGGGGCAGTAGTCCTCTTGCCCCCCCTGGGAGTTCCAAAAATACAAAATTTAAAGGAAACTACGTTTAGAAAGTAACACTTGACAATGACAAAGACTAAGGATTTGTTTAAATTCACTGTTAATACAAGGAGAGAAAAGCTTTAGCCTTCTAAAGAGAATACTTCATTACACAAGATGTACTATGACGGAGAGCAGACATAACGATCTTGCACTTATAGCTTTACACCCTATAAGGCTGTCTGAGCTCTCTACTGAAAAAAATCTTTGAAATGTTTGTGCAAGCAAATCCCAGAAAATTGTAGCTTAAAAGAGTTGGTAAATATGTAGATTGAGTAAATTCTATCTAAAAATTTTAGAAGAAATTTTGTTTATTTGTAAAAATATAATTTTTAATGATGCTGTGATTATTGATTTAGTTAGCTGTGGTGGAGTTAAGTGATAAATTTATAAAGTCAAAAAGTTAGTTTTTCAAGCAAAGGAATAATTTTTAGACTCTAAGGTTAGTAACACCCAAAAAAGTAGTCTTTTTNGGGGGGGCAAAAAAAAATTAAAAAAGGTATTAATATTTTTTCAAAAAAGGCATTTTTAAGGGGCAGCACAATGTTGCCAAGGGGGGGATCAAAAGATTGTGGCCCCCCTAAAAAAGCCCTCGTACGCCACTTGGCTTATTCTCTTCAACTTATACTCCTATACTCTAAGATTAGACTGCATGGTAGACAGCATATGTCCTTGCCTCATCAAAATGACCTAGGAGAATTTACAGAGAAGCCTAAAGGCTATTAGAAAATGTATGAGCTCAATTACTGCTAAAACATAGTTTCATTTTTCAAAATTGTTACTAACATTCATTCATATAAAATTATGGAATCGTAACCTAATGTTGCTAACGTTAAAATTCATTTATAAATCTACAGCAATGTAACCTAAAAATGCTACTGATGCCATAGTAATGTAATCTAACATTACTAATGTTAATTCATGAAGCTACAGAAACGTAATCTAATGTTACTAACATCTATATATAAATTTGGCTTGTCTGTCTGTTAGGGTGTTTGTATCCAAAAACGTCAAAACAGCTAAACCGATCGGACCCAATTTTTTTGTGGGACATCACATGACCACAGGGAAGGTTTATGAATGATAAAAATTTTTAAAAATGTGTTTTAAAGGTTTTTAATTTTGTAAAAAAAATTAAATTCTTGAAAATCCATGAATTTTTTTTTAAAATCCGCAAAATTTTTTTCTTCTTTGTTTTAAAATGTAAACAAAAAGAACTTGTTCACAATTTAAATAGATTTGGCTTGTCTGTCTGTTTGTTTGTATCCAAAAACGTCAAAACGGCTGAACCGATCGGGCCCAAATTTTGTGTAGGACATCACTTGACCACAGGGAAGGTTTATGAATGATAAAAATTTAAAAAAAATATGTTTTAAAGGTTTTTAATTTTGTAAAAAATTTAAATTCTTGAAAATCCGCTATTTTTTTTAAATCCGCAAAAAAATTCTTTGTTTTAAAATGTGAACAAAAAGAACATGTTTACAATTTAAATAGAAGATGGGCGCAAAGCCTAGTAAAATAAAATTCTTACATTTACCAGGATGGAAAAATGGGCAGCTGAAGGACGAAACTTTGAGAGTGAAGAGGAGGACGATGAACGACTTCCGGACGAATCTAAACCTTCCATTCCCGAGGACGATCCGAACTATTATGGTCAAGTTCATGACCCTCACACATAACCAGTCCTTTCCTGAGTCATCTATTTTAATGTTTCAGATCAGGATGGTTCGAACTAAGCAGGGTAAGCGTGTTCCTGGAGACGAGGTGGCTGAGGATGAAGCTCAGGTTGGATCTACTACTCAGGAGGAAACTAAACCTGCACCCACTGAGAATGGTAACAATAAGTTTAGAGAACATGGTTAATAATAAAAATAATGTTCAAAAATAAGTTTTCAGTTGCTACAAACTGTGTTACTACAAAAATGTTTTCTATAATGTCACCTTTAAAGCCTCATTCTTATTCTTCTTTATATTTTTCTAATGCTTTGACTTAGTCATGGCATATCTATGTAAGAAAAAAAATTCTTCTGGGTTTGGGATATTGTCACAAGAATGTAGGAATTAAACTAATCATACCTTATTCAACTACTTATTTAATTCTTACCTCCGTATTCATAGGTTTATTTTAAAAGGTGCTCCTGAATCTGAAAACCTACCCGACTCTACTGCTGAAGCTGTAGAAGCTGCCACTGCTCCTGCTGATGAAGCTTCTCCTGCTCTAGAGAACGGAGAAGCTGCTCCAGCCCCTACCGCAGCAGAAGAGAAGAAAAAGGTTTGCCAACTTCTATTTTATTAATTTTTAGTTTTTAGGATTTACATACAGTTAAACCCTAAATAATAAATACATCGAAAGAATTTATGAAATGTCGTCTTGACAATTTTTCAATGGGGTTTATACTATATTACGTAAATCTCAGTATTTGCGAAAATAAATAAATGGCTATGAATATGCAGGAACAGTTTTATAGAGCTCCATAAAATCATTTTTTTTAACTTAATATCTGCAACATTCCATTATCAGAAAGTGAAGAATACGACATTTGATGAATTCTTTCGATGTATTTAATATTTAGGGTTTCACTGTATACTATCTTTTTTAAAATTGTTTTTGTTTTTATTTTATTTTATTTTTTCTAAGACATGTCTTGCATTCTTATTTTCAGATTTTTCTGAATTAAAATTTTGTCAAAGTAACTTATGATAAACTATTTTATAAGTTGTTCAATTTTCACCATTTAATACTTTTCTATTCTTTATATATTTAATTTTGTTTCGATTTTGTGAAAGTTTTTTTTTGTAGTACAGTAATGTTTCCTTTGTATTCTTTTTTTGTCGTGTTTACTATTTACCATGTTCTGTAAATTATCTACAGTCTAACCCAGAACTTCGGAGCCATCGAAAGAATTTATAAAATGTCGTCTTGATATTTTTTTAATGGGTTTTATACTAAGATATCTAAATCTCAGAAATTGTAAAAATATGAAATATGCGGAAACAGTTTAAAAGAGCTTTATATAATTACTTAATTAAAAAAAACTAAATATCCGCATCATTCCATCATCAGTAAGTTTAGAAAACGACATTTTATCAATTCTTGTGTGTCTCCAAAGTTCAATCTGTAGTATATTTAAAGTTAGCACAACTCACGGAAACACATTTTTTTAAGAGAGTGAAGAAGGAGAAGACTAAAGAGAAGGTTGAAGGAGAAGAAGAAGAGAAGGATAAGAAGAAAAAGAAGAGTTTACCCGCTTGGGCCACCGTATCAGAAAGTACCAAGAGTAAACTTGCAACCTCTACCTCGGTAGGACCCAGAGGAGTGGGGGGGGGGACTTATTTGTATATGAATGCAGTGTGATATTTATAAAAAACTATTCCGCGGAGTAACCTAGAAGAAACGAAACTGAATTCCCATACCGATGGACAAATATCTTAAGTAAAAGATGGGACTGAAAACCCGGAATATGAGAGGGAATTCAAAAATCTACCTCATAGGAAGGTTGCCTCAAGAAATCTCTTCAAATAATGATTTAATTTGATAGAGAAAGTTTAGTTTCCTGACAAAGCTGGATTTCCAAGCTAGTTGTATATTAAACCATCGTAACTTTATAAAATATGTCAAAAAAAATTGCGATGCAAGGGAATACATATAACCCTATCTTCACTGTATTTCAGCCTACAGGTCGTTATACATTGTCTGAAGGTTGATTGTTAATAATAATAACATATAACCCCCAAGTCTAAGGAATGATTTTCTTATATCTAGGGGTGGGGGTGAAAAATTAATTGTCATCTTTCTCACTTTTTGATACTTTTTATTCAAAAAAACAATTGAATTATGAGCTATATGTTGTCTAGGTAAAAGTGCAACGGCCTAGACTTGTGGATGACGTCATCAATGCAATTGAAACTTGTGCAGATTCAAGGAACGCAATTAATAAAAATTTACTTTTTTTATTCTAAAATTGTTTGTTTTTCTTCCGAACTGATACCCTACTTAGTAATTCGTAATAGACTTATTATATCAAATTGACATTGATGAAAATAGAAAATAAAATTTTTTTACAAATAATAAAAATGATGAAATTAATGTTGTCCCACAGAGGAAATGCTACTGCCGGAGCTATCCGTAGCTTCCTTGCCTCCGAGCACCCTGAATGTCCGAAGCACATGTTCAAGAAGGTCGTCTTAAACGCCGTGGAGAAGAAGATCATTAAACAAACTAAGGTGAAAGTTTGAAAACGAAACAATCATTTTCATTATTGGTTTTTCCATTTTTTCTATTCTGTTTTTGTTAAAATTGATGTTTTCTTTCATTCATTATATTATAATTTTTATTTTTATCGTTATTTTTATTGTTATTGCTACCATTATTGCTACCGCTATTGCTATTGATAATGATATTGACATTGATATTGATATCGCTATTGTTGTTGCTTGTGTTATTATTATTGTTATTGTTTTTGTTTATGTTATTGATACGTTATTGTTATTGCTACCTTCATTGCTATTGCTACCGCTATTGTTCTTGCTACCGTTTTTGTTAATGCTACTGCGATTGCTAGTCTTAATTTTAAATCGTTATCACTATTGTTATTGCTATTGGTTTTTATATTGTTTTTATTACTATTGCTATTTATTGTTATTGTTTAGGGAACCGGTTTTACTGGAAAGTTTAGAATTGAGAGTTCCGGGAAGAAAGGAAGTAAGGGAAAGAATAAGGTTGCTGCACCGAAAGGTAAGTCCTAAAACTTCGTACTTATTTTCTTTCTTAACAAAAAATGTTGTCACAAATTGCGACTCCCAAAAAGTCTTCTAAAATGCAATAAAGTTACATCTAGAATAGAAGATAACAGAAAAAAAATTAGGTAACAAATAAATGATAAATTACTACATAAATGATTAATTACTAAATAAATGATTAATTACTAAATAAATGATTAGAATCCCTGGATGATATTCTCCCCTTGGCGTTTACCTGGGCCTGTAATCCAAAGGAATCCTCAGTCAATCTCATCAAGTAAGTACAGATTCTTTGGAATAAAATAATTGGTGTTGGGGGGGGGGGCGTCAACCACTGGAAGTCTGGGTATAAGAGATGTATTTCATTATACACCCTAAATACAATTTTTTTTAATTAATAAAAAAATGTCTAATTATTAGAAAGTAACACACTTTTAAGCCATTAACATAGTGTTTAAAAAGGTGATAAGATGTATTTCAGGTTTTTAGTTTTAAATATGCATACGGCGCGTGTTTCTAAGTGATATAACTATGAAAAGTATGGAAAGGAAATGTTTAAACATGTGCTCAGAACATTAATATTTGAATAAAAATATCAGCTATAACAGTTACAACATTCTTGACGATATTTCATTATTAAATGAGAAAATTGAGACACATAAACTGGAATAGAAAGACGACATTCAAGTAATAATGCTTTTCTTAAAGATCGTTGGTTTCGGCCTTTAGTCTGAATTTCTTTAGTTTTCAGCTCTCTAACTCTTAGAACCTTTTTTGTATTACAAGAGGAGGTTTTTTTTCATCCCATTTTGCCAAAAAAAAATTGTTAATATTAGTTGTTTTCTGGATTATGTAGATTAAAAGTGGAACAAGTGGCAAAATGTAGACTATAAGTAAAGCATGTTAGGTAAAGCAATATTTTTCATGTTTTCAACGTTTGTTTTTGTCTAACCGAATTTCAAGGGCTAAAAAGTTAAAAAGAAAAAATGTATTTGCATTATATCCTGGGACTGAGAGTATTATGATCCGAGCTAAAAACTTTAGAATTGGATACCTTAAACTTAATCTGAATATCCAATGTGGACACTTTTAATTTACTCCTTAATCCGCTCGTTTCCTCTTTGACCAATGAGAATGCACTCATTTAATAGCGCGCAAAATTTCAAATTTCCCGGTCTGGTTGACTTTTCCGGTTTCCCCAAATGCCACTTGATTGATATTGTTATATACACTATACAGTATACACTTTTGTGGATTAACAAAAAATATGCAGCATTGATCTAGCTCTGTGTATATTGTAGGAAGTATATTGGTGAGCACTACCCGGACCTGGATGTGGAAGGCGGGGGATTTAGGAAAGCTATTGAAGGAGGAGAAGCTAAGGGTCAGCTTAAGCGTATCTCAGGTTAAGAAAGATTTCTATAGTTTTAAACACACAAAAAAGATAATTTTTATTAGAAGAAGATTCGAAGAAAAAGTTTAAAGATAAAAAAGAATAAATCAGGGGAATTTCGAAATTTTGGGAAAGCACCTGTAAATTAATCTTGTCATAAAAAAAAACGCACACAAACCCAATTCCAATTAGGTTAACTTTGAATATAAAGATACACCATTTTTGCGCTAACTTAACAGGAATCACATAAGAAAAATTTAAGAAGAATATCCTCCAGTCCACAGCGCGCTACAACGTAGGGTATTTGAAAAAATCTAGATTATAAAATTTAAAAGGCATTAAGGCAGTGCTTAGGATCCGGATCCAAGGGGTAAAATATCAACCAAACTGCAAAAAAAAAAATCTTTTTTACTCCAAAACCCCAAATCTGAACTTTTGAAAAAAGCGAGATTATAAAAATTTCCTCATTTCTGAATGGTTCATCAAGTTTTAGGATAAAAATAAGCGAAAAAAATAAAACCAGAAATTAAAAAAAAAGTTTTAAAAATTCAGTAAATCTTAAAGAAATGACCTGGATCCAGTGCGCATCCAGGATCCGGATCCGCATCAAAATTGAATGGATCCTAAGCACTGCATTAAGGGTTTCCAGACTACTGTTAAACAAATTAAAAAATAAGTGAAACATGGACCCTTGAAGAACGAGGTCACGTGATCATTTTTGACAAATTTCGGTTTTAAATCTAACATTTTTGTACTTTAAATTTAAATAAAAAGTTTCATTAAATAAAGTATTTTTAAAGACTTAAAGGGACGATAATCTAAATAAATCACAACTTATTTTTATTAGTTGAATTGAAAAAAATCGAAATTTATGGAAATATTTGAGAAAATTTTAAATTTTATCAAAAATAACTCAGAAAGCTTTTAATGAACAATCTCTGAAAGATCCTGAATTATTGAAGAACTATTTAGGAAAGGGAATGAGTGGAACCTTTGCCCTGGTGGATAGAGCCGACAAGACCGGGGCCAAGTACGAGGACGCCATAGAGTCCGCCATCATTGCCATGAACGAACCCAAGGAGTGCAGTGTTACCAAGATCAGGGATTATCTTGGTAGGTTCCCATGCTTGGTTAAAGATCAATATTATTATTTTATATTTTATAATTATTATAGCTTAAAGGGACTGTTAACGTAATTTCAAGTGATCCTCTGTGCAAAGATGGAAATGCCTGATACACAACGGTACCCTTAAAAGCTTTGTCTGATCAAGTATGAATTAGATATCCATGTTTTTGAACAAATTAATGTTTTAAGCAGTGCTTAGGATCCGGATCTGGATCCTTTGGATCCGCAAAATTTTGGCTTCATGGATCCGGATCCGCAAAAATATGCGGATCCACGGATCTGGATCCAAGGGGTAAAATATCAACCAAAAACTGCAAAAAAAAATCTTTTTCACTCCAAACCCCCAAAAATGAACTTTTAAAAGAAGAGATATTATAAAAATTTCCTCATTTCTGAATGGTTCATCAAGTTTTAGGATAAAAATAAGCGAAACAAATAAAACCAAAAATTTGAAGAAAAAAATTTTGTTAAAAAAGTTTAGTAAATCTTTAAGAAATGACCTGGATCCGGTTCCGGATTTGGATCCGGATCCATTTTTTTCCAGTGCGGATCCAGGATCTGGATCCGGATCCGCATCAAAATTGAACGGATCCTAAGCACTGGTTTTAAGCTTACGGTTGTAAATCTGACATTGCTATCTTTGCATGGAGATGGGAGGTTCACTTAAATAACGCTTGCTGCCCCTTGAAATTAGAATTATTTTTATAATAGACAAGTTAATTGAACTTATTGGGTGGTTGGTTAAATCAACGATAGATCAATTATTAAATGTTTGATTGATTTCTTCATTGATTTGATTCATTCATGCATACATTCATTTACTCATTCATCCTTTCATTCAGTCAACCTTCCATTCATTCATTTCTCTTTTTATTTAGTCAACCTTTCATTCATTCATTTCTCCTTTTATTCAGTCAACCTTTCATTCATTCATTTCTCCTTTTGTTTAGTCAACCTTTCATTCATTCATTTTTCATCCTTTCATTCATTTATTCATTCATCCTTATTTTCATCCTTCCATTCATTCATCGACCTGTACTTCATTAATTCATTATTTAATGAATTGATGATTAAGGTGCTTATCATCCTGAGTTTGAAACTGACAACAAACCTCATTTATTCAAGAAAGCATTGGAACGAAACCTTAAAAATGGTTGGATTATCCAGGTAAGTTCCTCCACTGAACTAGTTGTATCACCAGGTAGGTTCCTGCACTGAACTAGTTGTATCCCAGGTAGGTTCCTGCACTGAACTAGTTGTATCTCCAGGTAGGTTCCTGCACTGAACTAGTTGTATCTCCAGGTAAGTTCCTGCACTGAACTAGTTGTATCCCCAGGTAGGTTCCTGCACTGAACTAGTTGTATCCCAGGTAGGTTCCTGCACTGAACTAGTTTTTTTATTTCTGGGTAGGTTTCTGCTCTTAACTACCTTTTTTACATTTTTTATGATGATGAAAATGAGACGACCAATTTCTTTTTTTTTTTTGAGAAATAAACACATTGATTCTATCACATAGATTTTCTAAAGTTTTAATGACGAAAATCCAGTTTTAACCTATTCGAGTATTTTTTGTTTTCTAAATTGTCAGCACTAGTCAAATGTAGGTTTTTAAGATAAATTTAATTGTACAAAAAATCTAACCCTTCAGTGTTCTCCCAGATACATTAGGTAACAGATTCTTGAAGAGAACGAATTATTTGGTGTAAAGCCTTAAAAGATAATTGAGTATCATGGTTTTGGCCCTTTTTATACAGATGCTCGTATAATAATTCCGTAGTCCTGTTTTTTTGTCAATTGATAATAAAAACACCAGTTAAAGGTCTAAACTGAAGAAATAAAACATAGGGTCGGATTCTGCAGTACGGCTGGTATGTCTTGCACTCTTGCAGTATATTGTTCAGATTGTATATTTCAATCAATAATTGGCAAAACGTCCAGAAAAAGCATTTTTCGAGCTTTAAAAATTAACACTTTTATATCTGCCAATGACATGTAGAATCCGACCTTATGTTTTATTTGTTCAGTTCAAACCTTTAAATGGTGTTTTTGAAAGTAATTGTTAGAAAAATGGGAATACGGAATTATTAAAGGAGAATTTACATGGTAATACAGGGGCAAGACTCAGATACTCAATTATCTTTTTAGGATGTAAATCAAATATTTCGTTCTCTTCGTAAATACTTTACCTAAGGTTACCGGGAGAACCCTGGAAGGTTAGTTTTTTTTGTAAAATTGAATTTATCTGAAAACCCTACTGTTGACTAGTGTCAGAAAATATTTTTAAAGTTTTGAAATAGCATTTGATAATCATGGTGAGTCCCTGCCCTGGAATGGATTTTTCTGGTTTTCATCTGAACTCTTGTCAACCTATATTTAGTTCATTTTGTATCTAGATGACTGGAAAAGGATTCACAGGAAGTTTCCGCCTGGGTTGGCCCTACTACCCATCTCCCAGGTTAATTTTCACATTTATTAAAATTAATAATCTATATATATATTTGGCATGTCTGTCGGTTTGTTTGTGTCCAAATCCAGTAACTGCAAAAAATGCTGATTGTTGAACCAATCGGGCCCAACCTTTTTTTCGGGACCTTTACTGAAAATAAGAAAATCCTCGATAATATGTAAACAACTAAATCAACGAAACTTATATTTTGTAATGAACAAATGAAAAATGGTGACTTAAAGAGCAATATTTAAAAGCTAGAAGTGTTAAAAGAAAACATACGGGACACTGTTCGTCTTAATAATAGTTAAAAATTGTTAACAATTGGTAATAGTAAATTTAAACAATGTTTTATGTTAGAGTTCTCTGGGGAGATGAATACAAGGAAAAAAGTGAAAAACCAGCGAAGAAGCGCGCAGCTGCTGCGTCACATGATTCCGAAGACGGAGAATCTGAAGAGGAAGAAGAGGAGATTGTGCCGCCATCGAAGAAGCGTGCCGCTCCCAACGCCAGATCAACAGTCCTTCCGGCGGCCAAGAAGTCTAAGACAGTTGCTAAGAATACGACTGCTGTTGTTGCGAAGAAGTCAAAGCCGATTGTCGCTAAAAAGTCGAAGACCGGCAAGAAACGATCTCGAAAGTAAAGAGCTCAAATAACGATGTTCATTACCTCTGCAATTCAGACCTGAATACCGTAAACGTTCAACATTTATTGTTTCTCCAATATTGTTATTGTACCATCGTCATTTTGTAAATTTTTCTTGTTAAATTTCTAAAATTTGTAAAATAAGGTTTTTTTAAAAAGCCAAACCTTCTCTACCATGCAGAAAGATGTTTATTGTATACAATTCAAAATTTATCTTGAGCTTTCTTTGGTTTATTTACTTTTTGCGTATTTACTAACAGAGAGCAGATTTAAATGCTTAATTAATTTTTGGTATTGTAAAATATGATTTGTAAATTGTAATTTTTTTTAAAAATTGTTTGAATGTTTTTTTTAAATGAAAACCCTCGTTTGGTGTTAAAAGGCATATTAAATTTTTTTGTTGTGCTTCACATTTCACATTATAAATTTGTTTGCTTCACTAAATCTATATCCAAGATATGCATTTGTGCACTTAAATTCTTTCAAAACATATTTTCTTTCTGAATAACTTAAAAATGGAACCATAAATAGTAAAAAACCTCATTTAGATGCCACGTGATTTAAGGATATCCTAATTTAAGAAACATTCTAGAACCAAACTTTAATGGAACTAAGTACTGGAACCTGTAGAAATAACTATAAGGTCATGCACTAGAACCTGATATAGATGGAACCATGTTTTAGAACCTGATATAGATGAAACCATGTACTAGAACCTAAGCTAGATGGAACCATGTACTAGAACCTGTTATAGATGGAACCATGTACTAGAACCCAATTTAGATGGAACCATGTACTAGGACCTGATATGGATGGAACCATGTACTGGAACCTTATTTAAATAGAACCATGTACTGGAACCTGATACATATGTAATCATGCACTGGACCCTGATACGTTTGGAACCGTGTACTAGAACCAGATACATATGGAACCATATGCTAGAACCTGATATAGATGGAACCGTGTACTGGAACCTGATATTTATGGAACCATGTACTAAAGGCAAATTTAGATGGAACCATGTACTGGAACCTCATTAAGAAGGAACCATGTACTAGAACCTATATTTGGAACCATGTACTGGAATCAGATTGAGATGGAATCATGTAATATACATATGGAACATATGGAACCTGAAATTGTATAGAAGTAGAACCATGTACAGTTAAATGTAAGGGAGTACAACGTGAATTGCATTGTTAAAACTTTTCTTCTTCCTGTGTTAAAGTTTTTTGAAAATTTGTTTTGTGGAAAAATATGAATAAATCTTTTATTTGAAGTTTTGATAAAAAAAATTAATGCAAGAAGAGTTAAAAATAAAGACATTGTTAAAGCCAAAGCCTAGAGTCTATCTAGAGTAAATTGCATTAAGATTGAAATTTCGTATGTTTTCAATCCAAGATGTACCTTTTGAGAAAGACTAAAACGTTTTAAATTTTCAATTTGTAAGTGGCCACAAAGTCGTAGCAGTAATTTTGCATTAAATTGTGGGGTGGGGTGGAGTGTGACACCAGTTCTCGTTAGATAACTGAAGTTAAGCAAACTTGTCCGCAGCCAGTAACTGGATTGTGTCCAGACGGGTGTTCAGAGCTGAAAACTTTAGAATGGAATTTCCTTAATCCCGATCAGTTAATTAGTCTGGAGATTAATAACAAGAGGAGAACAAGGATTATTTAATCTTGAGATTAAGAAAAAGAGTGGATCAAGCATTAGTCCCGATATCCACCATTCAAAAGTTCCCAGCTCAGGTGTTCGATTCTCGTACTCCAAACAAACCTGTGGTTTCTAAAACATCAAACGCCGACATCTGGCTGTCAACAACTCTCGCAGCGAAAGGGTGCGTTCGTCTATTCAACAAGAAAGAAGCTTTAAGTGGATTGATCCCAAGTGAATGATGATGAACATCAAATGAAGAGAGGAAAGGTGGACAAGCAGAGAGAGTCTATGTTTGCCAGATATAGGTACCTGGAGGTATCCAATCCGGTCTTACAGATGTTAGGGAGTAATGAGTTTGATGTTTCCTGTCTGTACATGGCACCCGGGCCTCATTCCAGTATATCAGAAGAATTCTTGCACTCAATTATTCTCAGGCATAAGAGCAGCTGGAATCAATCCTCTCAGTATGAATGAAGCGTGGATGGGTGAATTTGCTGCCAGAGCGTGGTAGATCAATATAAAGTAAAAAATATCGAATAGATAAATTTGGAGATTTTATCCTAACAACCCGATCATGTCCTGGGGACAAAAAATCTCTATTAAAAAAACAAGATAAACAATATAAAGAATATAATGAATAATCCGTGTTTTCACGATTTCATCGCTAGCTACCTACACTCCCTACACAGTTATACAAAGTATACATTAACTAATAAGATTTAGTTTGGATTATCCGGACATTTATTACAAGTTGACCGTAAATCCCCAATTAAATTGTTGTTAGACCTGAGCTGAAAACTTTAGAATGGGATATCCTTAATCCCGATCGGTTAATTAATATGGAGATTAAGAACATGAGGAGAACAACCATTATTTAATCTCGAGATTAAGAAAAAGAGCGGATCAAGCCTTAATCCCTATATCCACCATTCAAAAGTTCCCAGCTCATGATATGAAGATTTTAAAGCGTGGTAAAATTTTAGTTTTGCTAGAATTGGAATTTTTGTCAAAATTGGTAGAGGGGTGTGTTTATTCTATATACTTTTCATAAGATTCATAATCACTTCATCAATGTAAATTCTGTAATTATTTTTTTTCTATACTTATGCATTGTGATAATTAAGAAGTTATATAAAAATGTTATTGAAAACTAACATGATAACCCCTTCCCCCATTATTTTCTTTATATATACCAGGCCACCCAACTATCCCCTCACATATATTTCTTTTTCTTGACATTAATTCCGACATAAAGTGTTAAAAAATGTTTGGATTGCTGTGCCCGCATACCTGAACTAGTTCAACTAGCTGGCAGGGTCAATCTAGGGAATTAGGAGTAGGCAAAACTAGAGATTCAGGATATTTCGCGCATCTCTTTTACTTTTTCTGTCCCATGTGATGATGTGAATTGAGATGACGAGAGATGTAATTTATCCTCTAATTAGATTCACAATAATACAATTTTTTGAGTTACAATGAACAAGTAATGTCGTTTTTCTAACCGTGTTGAATTCTGCCAATTTCCTACCTTTTCTCTGTGGCATAAATTCAGTAATTTATTTTCAATATAAAGAAACCACAATTGAAAATACTCTGTATTCCACGAGAAAAGAAGGATATCTCATTCAAAGGACTGAAGGGTGCCATATCACTGTAGAAGGAGACAAAGGTAAAGTTTATGCGACATCATTGGTATTTTATATCTCGTAGCTCCTCTAAATTTGATTTTACGTACAAGGTACAAAGTACTGCATGGGAACTTTACAATGAAATATCATTAATCCTGATCGGTTAATTGATATGTCGATTAATAACAAGAGGAGAACAAGCATTATTTTATCTGGAGATCAAGAAAAAGAGGAGATCAAGCATTTGTCCCGATATCCACCATTCAAAAGTTCCCAGCTCTTATAAAATATTAGAGATTCAAAACATTTTTGTACTTCTCAATATATGTATACACAAGGAGGGTTACCTGAAATTACGATGACTTTAAATTGTAATCGTCGGTATCTAATTAAAGACAAAGCAGCATGTCTGAAAAAATTAAATTTGATATTTTTTTTAACAGTGTATGTATCATATCCTTAAAAATATTTATAAAAGTTTCATCGAGATTGGACTTTTCATTTTCTGTATTTAATGAATAAAAACCTTTCAGTGCGGATTTCAGGTATTGTTACTTTTTGGTAATACAGTCTACAATTTTATGCAGAACAAGTTTGTTTCTTCAGGCCGCGGGTGTAAATCTAAAGTTATGAAAGCAAAATAATGGCATAAAGTTGCACTGGTGTAAAACCCCGTATACTTACTTATATATACCTACTCCTAGACGATATATTTAAGAGAACCTGGACAATTTGGACTATGGACATGTTTGAACAACAGGGACAATTTATTGCCATCTCAGGATTATTTACTATTATGTTACGGGACATAGCATAATTGAAGAAATTTGGAAACAGTTGGTATTTTTAATGTTATTTTTATCTTGAAAATTGGCGCATTTATCGAGGAAAATGGTGAGTTTTGTGAGAAGTTTTGCGCATTTTTTAGAAAATTAATAATGGAGGAGATAATAAAAAACCGGACAAGTTTCTAAGTAACTGATCTGTAAGTTTGTAAGAAACCGTGAAGATGAAGTAGAATCTTGTTCCACCATACTCCACCCTCTTCAAGTTTTAAATGTTAATTATTTATTTTTAGTAATTTTGAATCATTGATAATTAATTGTCTTTTATTATTTTGGGAAATATATAAATCTAATAGGCTTTCATCATCTATTTCAATACGGGGGGGAGGGATTTGGTAAGAAAACAAAAATTTGCTTTAACTATTCTTAGAATTCTTGCGATTACAAATATTCAATAAAAGATTTGAAATAAATAAAACAGAGAAAGAAAGATAATTATTAAAACCATAAATTCTCTTGGCATTTCCATAATGGTTTGCTCTTTTTTGTGCTGTAAAAAACAGAAGACATAAAGAGTTTCGTAAAAAACTCAATTTATTAAATAAAACCTAACTTGTCTAAATCTAAACAAATTTCTTCAGAAACTTCGGAAATTTTGAAAGTCCAAAAAAGACAGACCACATTGTAAACTGTTATCATTGTGTTATTTGCAAAACCTCGTCTTTTAACAAGTTTCGTGGGACACCCTAAATATTAATTTATTTATTTCTTTATCTTTGTTTAACTACAAAGCACGAGTTGAACAAATAAAAAATCACAATTTACTATGTAGTTTGGGTCCGCCTAACCAGAGTATGTTGTTTTAATTGGTTGACGGATTATAAGCGAATGAGAACAGGGGCGCCAGGATCTTCGCACCCCTCTGATGGACTTTTTTGAATAGCTCCTCAATAGCACTTAAAGGAAAGAAAACCTAGTTCAAAACAGGAAAAATATCTTTCTCAAAAGATTTTTGCGGCACGTCTTTTTGTTCCTAAATCTGGATTTTTTTTGTTCCAAAATAAATCTCATTTCTGTCCCTGAATGAGAATTGTAAATAAATGGGTGTATAGAGAGAAGAGAGATTGAGATTTTTAAAATAAGATTCAAGGAGATAAATGAGATTAAGGAAGAGTAAAAGGAAAGAGATAAAGTATGGGGGGGGGGGACAGAGACAAGTATAAAACGGAAGTCTGGTTTGCATAAATTCATAAAATATGTGGAAATATAGAAATGGGGTAATAAGATTAAAGGGGTAGAGTGGTGTTAGATGATCGTCACATTCTAGGACTGTGCTTTAGTATGTATCATATCCTTAAAA